ATTTTAATTAGGAGAGGGAAATAAACCAAACAACCAAACCAAAGCCAGAACAAAACAAATCTCCCTCTGCACCCAGAACATACCATGCAAAGAGCGCTGTGGAAATCTGCCTGCTGCTCTACCTGTCTTCTGTCAGCTCTGCTGCCTTACAGGCTTGAGGTTTTGTCATCTCACTTTGGGGCATATACAGATTCTGGCCCTTGGAGCTTCTGTTTAAGGTTGGGGTGAGGAGTCTCTTGAATAAGAACTTAGGTTTGTGGAGGTGGGGATAATGTGATAATGGAAGCATATGGGGAAAGAAAGGGAGAGGACAGCCTTTGGGGGAGGGGGAATTTCTCATGCATGTTTTCAGCTTCTGGCAGGTCCTTTGGCATCCTGCAGATGACAGGTGGAAGGGGAGAGTAGTCACCCCTTGTGCTTGGGGCATGCTGGCAGTGCTGGTAGGCAAAAGGAGGGTGCCTGTATGCGAAGGGCTTGGGACTGGATTCCTAGCCAAGGACCTTGGTGGGAGTTGCCTGAAGCCTGTAATGTGCCCTGCAGAAAAGTTGAGAAGTTCAGCTCCTATTTCTTTCTCCTGCAGCCTGCGAAAGAGTTATGTGAAACTCTAGAAATCCTACTGCTACTCCCTGGCCCTTGCTGCTCTCTTGGCTTCCCTGTGGGAAGCAGGGCTTGTGTTTTCCAGCTGTGCTCTGACCAGCAGTCTCACTGATGCAAAGCGGAGAGGAGTGTGGCAGCTGTGATCAGATTTTGCCCTGGAATATTTCACCTCTGTAACTCCCTTTCTGGGAGTCACCCCCCTGCTGCCCTCCTTTGTCTTCCCATGCCAGCCTCGGAGAGCCACATACCTGCATGTTGACCTGGATGGGCTGTCTCTCCCCACTCTTGGTATGTGGTACCCCTTCTGTGTCATAGATCCCTGTGTAAGAGGCCACTTGTGCGTCCCTTGATTTCTCTTCCAGTGGGACATTGACGCCCCCAATGCCCATTGTCCTGCAAAGAGACAGGACCCAGCTTTTCAGCAGCCCTGCAGGTCCCCTTCCCTGGCAGCTTGGAGCCAGCATGTGGGCTGGCAGCCTCTGTGCTGGGGGATGCTTCAGGGATTTTAGCAGACCTGCAGGTGCTGCTGACTCACTGGGGCTCCTGAAAAATACCGGGGCTCTGTGGTCACCTAGGTAAGGTGTAGAAAGGAAAGGCAGGAGGGATCTGATCTCGAGGAGCTGGGGAGAGGTTAGTCAAATCCCTTCTCCAGGGCCGCCTCTCCACCCCAGAGCCCGTTCCCCATCTGCATCCTCCCTGGTCCCGGTTCCACTTTGCAGTGCCGCAGCAGCAGGGCTTGGGCACGGTACATCCCTGACGAGCAGGGCTGGAGGGGCCTCTTCCCTCTGCCTCCAGGGCAAACTGAGGGGAAGGAGGGGGAAAAGGAGCTGGGCTTGAAAGAGCTCCGGGAGAAGGTGGGGAGGGAGAGGGAAGGAAGCAACTGCAAAACGCGGCCTCTGTCCCCAGCCAGCCAGGCAAGGCTCTGGAACGGCTGTGGCCAGGGACCTGGAAACGGGGCCACCAAAGCAAAAGGGCAGGGAGAGAGAAATCACGGAAAACCCCGTGCTGTCAGCCTGCCAGGAAAAAAAGAATATTAAACATCTAAAAATAAAGCAGGGGGGAAATGGAGGGGGAGGGCCGGGGGAGCCGCCCCGGGCCGGGAGGCTGCACTTACGTGGCCTGGACGGTGCCGGGCCGGAGGGCCACCTCGATCTTGTACTTGGCCCCGGTCAGCAGCTTGATGGTGCGGTTCTGGCCGAAGCGCTGCCCGTCCACCTTGAAATACACCGCCCCGTCGTTGGGCTGGATTTTGAGGGAGACGCTGATTTTCACGAGGCCGGGGATGTCGCCCATCGCTTGTCGCCGGGGCGGGGGGCTGCAGGCTCTGCGCTCGTCTCGCCCCCTCCGCGGAAGGCGGCTGGCCGGGAGAGGAGAGCGAGGCTGCGAGGGAGAGGAAGAGGAGGAGGGAGGAGGAAGAGGAGGGGCTGCCGGATCCCAGCCAGCCCAGCCCTTCCCAAAAGCAGCGGATGATATATTTGTTTTTTCCCTCCCCCTAATCGTGGCGCATCATCTGGGCGGCGGATGCTTCACCCCCCTCCCCCCCGCCCCATCTCCCGGTTTGAGGGACCTTTGCAGCTGCTCAGATT